ATAAAATCTTTAAAGGGTCCTTCAAATTATGACATGAATGTTTAGGGCATGTTAGCTACCGTGCAATTTCAATTTAAACATAAAGGATATTTATCGATAGAGTAATATTTTGTCATCCTTGGGTCATGTTTTAAGGGATTGGTTGTGACTTTAGTTGGCATAAGTTGGTATGCCGATTGTTTCTCAGTTTTGAGATAGTATTGTGCTTAGTTAGTTTGGTTCTCAATTTTTATGGGTTTGGGTTCTCTCTTATAATGTCTCACTATATACTAATCTTTCAATATTAATAATTTTAACTATGTAAAAAATGTATCAACATCACAAGGTTGGAAAATACTAAAAGTTGAGGCACTAAAAGATTCATCAAGGAGAGGAGAAATACGAGGGTAGATGCATACAAATATTAAAAACTTCTCATGATTTGTTGAAAACCACTTCACTGATTACATGTCGTTCCTAGAATGATGAGGCCTGATTATTTTTCTTGATTTTTCAAAAAAAAAAAAAAAATTACTCATCAAGAATTTATATTCAAGATGTCTGACATATCACTTTCAATTGATAAAATAATTGATTCATTCAATCTATCTTGAGACATTATGGATCTCATATACATATATATATATATATGTATATGTATATGTATATGTATATATATGTATATGTATATGTATATGTATATGTATGTGTATGTATATGTATGTGTATGTAAATGTATATGTATGTATATGTATATGTATATGTATATGTATATATATGTATATGTATATATATGTATATGTATATATATGTATATGTATATACATATATATATATATATGTATATACACACGCACACATATCTACCTAGAGACCTCTTAATTGTTAACCAAAGAAATAGTACAAACTTTGTTAATCGGATCATTTTCATCATTTTCATATATTGATACTACATTCTTTAAACATCTCATTCACTTAATTATTATATTCCTAAATTATCTTATTCACTTAATTATTTTAGTTATGTATTTTTTGGTTTTCTAATAAACTTGTTTAACCTTCCTTAATTATCTCATTTAGTTTGTTGGTTTCACCTATGAACTTTGGTAAAAAAAATTGTACAACCAAAGTTCATACACGAAACAACATTATGAACGGAAATCTTTATTTTTCATCTATGAACTTTAAACAAAAATCATTGTTGAACTTTATGGTTTCATGAACTTTCATTATCTGGTTTCACCTATGAATTTTAAACAAAAATCATTGTTTTACTTTCTGGTTTTACCTATGAGCTCTCTGCATTTACCTATAAACAAAAATCATTTAAATATTGTTATTGATTATAAAAAAAAATTTAAATATTATTATTGATTAGCTTTCAAAAATAAAAATAATTTATTCCAACAATGCCCTTTATTTAATACCATTTAATTTATTTCCTTTTTTTATTAGATTATAACCTCCTATTTAACTACAACCGTTGATCAAAAAAATAAAAGACTCAAATCGATTAACAAAATTAATACTATTTATATGGTTAACAAATAATTGTGCCTCTATTTACATATATAAGATCTTAATAACTTTAGCTTCGAAAAACTTTCTTTAAACATACACAACACAACATTTACATGTATAATTAATAATATTATATATGCAATGCATACATTAGGAAATGAATCTAATTGCTTTACGTAATTAAGTACCTTAACTGGATCAGTATTAACATGTTTGCTCAAAATTTGCTTCAAACCCATTATTTTGGGAAAATAAATCAAGTTCATCAGTGTCCAAATACTCACCAAACTTGTTTCACAAAAAAGTTTTAAAATCACCATCTTCTAAATTTTGTAGCTTATCTAAATAAAAGAACCCAATAATATTTTCATATGCCATAAATTGTTTAAATCATATTTCAGTGAAAGTAACAGAATCTGAATGATCCATTATATGTTTAAATTACTCCATACATTATATCATATTATTATCTTTTCAATTTCTAGGCCTTTTTTTAGGGTCTTGTATTTTGAGATTCTTAAATTTTGAGGCCTTCATATGTGGATAAGAATATGATCTCTCTAACTTCTCCTTCCTACTCACCAACCATAAAACCACATCATCCATTTATGAGAGAGAACAAAAAGATAATTTATATTAAATAAAAATAATATTTTAAGTAATTTATGTGACATGGAAATGGGACAAACCAACTATCTGCTTGAAAGGAAGAGAATAGTATAGAATAACCAGAAACAAGGATCGCAAGCATCAATGGAAGGAACAAAAGTTAGGGCTATCTTTAACCAAGATACACCCTTGATTGAGACAAATGAAAATACCCTTGGCAGGGAGAAACACCATTTAGAAGTTGTTCTAGGACTTGGTTGAGAAGAAGAGAGAAGACCATACTCCAGAAAGAAATTTAAGAATCATCGATTTAGAAGAGAAGATGGTTTATTTTTGTAGAAGGCAGCTATTAAGACGATGATCAAGCACTATAAAAAAAACTGGGTTTATAAGACACCATTAATTTCTAAGGCGTGCTATAGGACCAAAAATAGAGCGTCATATCTAAAGGCGTTGTAATAAACTTATAGATTACTTTAGACGTCTTAACAAGATTTTTAGGATGCTTTTAATAAAAAAATGTCTCATTAACAATTTTATAGGACACTTGTTTTTATAAGACAATTTTTCAAATAGTATCCTATATATAAAACTGAGACGTTTTGTATAAAAAATGTTCTAAAAAACTTGTTATAAAGCTCCAAATATTCTATAAACTTATTACAACACTTTTAGATATGACGCTTTTATTTTTTTGTTCCTATAAATTAAGTCATATAAAACGATCTATTATGACACTTGATGATTTTTGTCGTCCTATAAACCCGATTTTATTGTAGTGAAGGCTCACACACCAAAGTATATATTAATTATCTGGTTTTAGCATAATTGGAAACATTCAATCGTTCCTAATGAAAGGTTTCCTAAATCTAGGGACTAGAAATCTATACCACCATTAAAAATAAAAGATTCATTTAATTAGACCCTTTTATTTGGTTTCGAAGTTAATATTGGAAACATGATCGTCAACGATTTTGATATTTGAAAAAATGGTGTTACTTTTACTGATCAATTGTGAAATGACATAATCTATTGCCAACATATATTAGCTATTACATTGCACTTTCAAAGTGCATATTTGTTACTTCGATCTGCAAATTTAGAATGTCTCATAACATTAATAATAGTAATCTATTTGGACCATCGGGCTTACCAACTTCGTTATAGCGTTTCTTTTTATTAGAAAACCAAGTAAGAGTGTGAGAGATGTTGTATTCACTTTATCTTCAAAGTTTCTTAAAATGTTTTGGTTTTACATATGATATAGGTATGATGGTCATGTCATTTGTAATGACTTCATTGATCAATCAATTTTGTTGAAGTAATTGATTACACCTACAAAAACTATATCTATAACTACGTCCCAACTCACTAAATTCAATTGTCAATGATCTTAAATGAGTTTTGATCGATATGTCTCATGTGATAAGCAGTGATCCGAGGCATATCCAAGCTATGCACATCTGAAATCCAAGAAAAATCTAGCAAAATGCTTCACCAAGTTCTTCCAACAGAATCAAATCCCAGTAAGAAAGAATTCAAGTTTTGTTCTGATGGTGAAAATGACAAGGTGAATTATATTTATACCTGCTCCTATAGAGGGAGGGGGGGGGGGGGATCTGAGTGAGGTAGGGGGTATGAAATAGGTGGTATGGGAGTAGGAAGGGAGTATGAATAAATCCCAAATGATAATAGAATAAACCTTCAATCTCCAGGTACATTCTTTAAGGTTGTAAACTTAACCGATTTTAAATGAGCAAGTAAAGTCCCTAGATTCTCTAGCTTTTTTCTTTATGGAGTCTAAATTAAAGTAAACTTGTAAAAAATGACATGAATTTCCCAACCCAGCTTTGAATACAAAAGAAGCATGAAAAACTATATATTCCCACGTCAGGTCTTATTAAGAGAATTTGATGGTAGTGGTAGAAGGAGAAGTGATAGAACATAACCATTAATTTCATAAGATTCCATCTAAACAAGAACTGAAATTTAGAGTTGAAAATTCAAAATATATATGGTCGACTTAATGGATTGCTTTTCTAACCAACAAGAACAAAATATATAGTAAGTGCGGTTAATTTATATACATATATATATATATATATATATATATACACACACATATACATGCATATGTGTGTGTGTATTTATGTATGACTGTTATTAATTTATATTTTTAAGACAGCGATCTTTTTTTCTTTGAACTGAAACACACCCCAATCTACTTTGTATAACAATACGACTTTTAACATCAACACACGCTTACTGATTCCTGATGAGTTAGTACGTACAGACTCTTTCTAAAATTCTTATGAAGGAGATGGTATAAATATAGTCTTATAATAATATATATATTGATCGTAATAATTCTTTATGTAAGAAAATAAAATAAAAAAAGAGGGAAAAAAGTATATCGCGGCTTTTAATTATGATTTTTTTTTTCAGAAAAATTAATATATATATATATATATATATATATATCAGATCTTTCACTTTAGATTAGCATACTTGTTTTATAGTATCTATAAAAAGAATAAAGTAAAATAAAAACCAGGTGAAAGACTGAGGGTTACACATATTTCCCACTGTATTTCGATCAATTATCCATGAGATCATGGTTAGATCAAAATCTGAAAGATTTAAGGTCCCCTTTATAGTTGACGTACAACAGCCTATGACAAAGAGGTTTTCTTTTCCGTAGATCTGAATTGATTGATTCGTCTTATTGTTTAAGGGCGAGATTAAATAATTTATTAGTTTTTCCTTTAGGTTTGTATGTGGACTGTGTATTTTTTGAAACAAAAATGGAGAACTGTTGCAGATTTAGAACCCTAGATGAAATAAGAATATATAAAAATGAGATGGATAGAAGAGGAAAGGATAAAGGGTACCAAGAGTCAGTAGAGAACTCAAAGAGCTTTCCTTTGTTGGAGAAGACAATTAAAGCAACTTCGGCATCACAAAGAACCGAGATCTCATGGGCTTTCTTCAATAGCCCTCCTCTCCTCTTTGAGAAAGTTACCTGCCTGTTTATCTTGTTCTCTATCCTCCTTAGTTGTACCTTTCCTCTCCCCATCTCTCTCTCTTCAGAAAACCAAACAACCAAATCCAGGGACTGTAGATACTCTTGGCTAGAAAAGGAAAGCTGTGAGTTTATTGTTGTTTTCTTTCTAGAAGGGGTTGGGATGGGGGGGTTTTGCTTTTATGCTTCACTGAACCCTTCCTTTTTCCTATAATGAACTTCAAACACCCTTGGCTTCTATGTTTCAGCAAAAGGGGGAAGAGCTTATTAAATAAATGAAAATCTAACACAAGAGCCTAGATGCCAAAAGAGTTTTGTCCCTGCTTTGTTGGTCAGTATCAGCAAACTACACCAACATTTTGTTTTATCCTTGCAACAACAATAATTGTACTGTAAGAAGGTGGTCTCAAAAAGACATATATACCCTTACAAAAGTAGTTACACCAAAAGAGGAGGGGGTTTGATCCAATTAGGAAGCTTCAGTTGGAGTTATATCATTTTGGGTTCATTTTACACGGTTTATTTTGTTGCATATTTCTCTTTCCATGGTTGCGTTTGTTCTATTTTTCCTTTTGTCTTTCGTTCTGTTCCGTTCCGATAGGTTTGTTTTGAGAATGTTTGAACGTAATGGATGTTCATTTATCCCAATTGTTATACGCTTGAACGATCACTTATTTGAAACTAAAGGTGTCAGAAAAGTTACTAGTTTATGGAAGCCAAGGGTTCATAATGATGTTGCTTTTTGAACCAATATAACATGATTTTTTTTGGAATTTCATTTGCGAACTTATGAGTACACAACACAATCAAAAACTGTGCAAATATAAAAACTAAACAAGTGAAATCACATAAATACGACATATTGATTTTATTGTAATTTATACTTGTTATCCTATGTTCAATCATTCGAGTAGCCTTGAGAGTTTCCAAAAAACCGTACTTTTTATGGTCAAACACAAGCCAATATAAATACATAGTGCAATCACTCGATAAATTGTTCTAATGAACAATGAAATTGATACAATGATTAAACGTAAGATATCACATTTAAATGATCAAAATTAATCAAATTTAGGTTACTTACGAAATCTAAATTTATGCTCAAAACAAGTGGCCCATGGATGAACGTACTTAGGTATCGTATGGTATGCGACAAAAGTTTAACTAATGGAGTTGACCATTACGGAAAAAACTTAATATAGCACGCCATGTTGCCCCAGATTAGATCAATCAGATCAGCCTTAAGTTTTGATTTATCCTTCTACAAATTATTCTTGTGAACCTTTTCTTATGAAGTCTTGCCTGAATCAATCGGCCTTCTGAACTCTTCTACAAACATCAACAAACTTTGTTTTAACTTCAATGACATCTCCTGAATACTGTTTATGTTTCGGGGTGCTACCTCTTGACCCTGCAATGCGACCCCCTTAACCTTGGGTTCAAATTAGCTTATATAGACAAGCGTGCGATCTACTCCTCCTAACCAATATTATAGCTTATAAATCACAAATTCCACCAAATGATTAATAATATTAAAATCACCAACCAACAATTTAATATGCACACTCGTATTAAATTTTTGCCTCATTCGCATGTCTTGTAAAATTTCGATATTCCGCGCGGGCTATGAGGTTTATGTTTGCATTTTAATTTGATGTTGTAGACTTTTCTTGATGGTTAAGATAATCAAACAATGCATAATACACACATACAATACCATTTATGTGTGTGTATATATATATATGGGTTATTATACAACTCTTTACATTTGTACAACCAATACAACTCAATATCAACCGTCCATTTAATTTGATGAATATGTGATTTCATAAAAGTTTTGATTATTTCCTAATATAAAGTCTTGATCATAATTAATGAACCCTAATTATCTTCCATATATATTTAAATCATAATAAATCAACTCTCATTATTTTCATAAATATCTCAATTGATTGAATTGCATTGGTTGTACAAATATGATTGGTTGCATTGTCATCTCTCTCTCTCTATATTTATATAAATAAACATTTGATGGCTAATTAGTTTTGTGACAACGAAGACATACTACAAGATGACATACTTTTAGTGGTCGTAATTATGGTGGAAATTTTTGTTTGTGATTTCCAACTGATCATCAATGGATATCTGAACTTTTGCGTCTCTAAACATTTATGTCGATGGCTTTTGTTGGTGCAAGTATACCACATCCCTATATATTTTTATATATTTGTCTTGATGATTAAAACAAATGAAATGTTTAATTGATTACAAATTTTAATTGATGTGCATATTTATGATATATCGAGAATTAAGTAAGGAATCGTGTTTGGTCAAGTAATCCATAAAAGTCATTGTCCTCGGGAAACTTGCCATATTGCCTCGAGATCTACGTCAAAGACGAAATTCAAAGATTGGATTGGAACGTATGCCCGTCACATGTTTGAAGATCAAATCAGAGCCAATGTGAAGTTATCATCCGAAATTTTACATGATATCAAGTAGTATTTAATTTATCTCGACTTAGATGAATTATTTTTTAAATTGAGGTGTTAGAAAATAAATTTGAAAAGAATTTATAGAACTTGTTTTCATAAAATAAATATGGATGTTCCAACAAGAGATATTTTATAAAATCGAGATAAATTTTATAAAAATCTTAGTTATTAATTTTTTTTGTAATTTCTTTTAATTGAATTCAAATTTGTGAAAACGAAATCAAAAGATTAAATGTCTTATTTTATTTGAAATTAGAAAATAAAAAATCTATGAACAATGTTGCGGAAGTCTGCAGAAAGCTTCTATGGATCTTAGTTGACTCTTATGACAAAAAGTACTTTTCAACGGCTATAATTTAGTGGTCAGGAAAAATGGTCTGCGGGTTTCCGAGGAAGGCTTTTGCAGACGTTTGTGTAATGCATTTGCAGAGATCCACGAGTATCTTTTTCGAAATTCTCATATATGTTCTATGGGGTTTTGAGCTTCATTTTGAAACACCAACTTTTGCTCTTCAACTATGGAAATTCCTCTTAGAACTCTGTCAAGAACATTTTGAATGTTTTTCAAATCTATGCCTTGATTTTTATGTCAAGTTCATCCATTTGAGAGTTAGCATTTCCACCACTTGATCAACGTTGTAAGTTCTTCATATTGTAAGTGGTGTGAGTAACACTTCACATTTCTTAATATTTTGATTAGAGTTGTTCATCTTTTTGAAATCGTTTAAGTATTGTGTTAGGTTTGAAAAGTTTTCTCCTTACATTACTCTTTGTGTTTTTATCATCATTGTGTGAGATTTGAGTCATCTCCCTACCCATATAACCATCGAGTGATTCTCCTTTTTTTGGTGAAAGGTTTGAGTGTTTTCTACCTTTTTCAAAAGGTCCAGTGTTTTACATCTTCTTTGAAAAATCAATTTGTACGATTTTTGTTCTACCATTTAAAGAACAACAAAGTGAAGTGTCTCGGTGTGGACGTAGCCAAGTTGGGTGAACCATGGTAAAACTATTGTCAAGTATCTCTAACCCTAGTCTCTTTGCATTTCATATTGTACTATGGTTATGTATGTGTTATATTTGTGTCCAATCCTTATTTTTATCTTTATATACTTGAAGCAACAAAAGAAGTATTAAAAAATTTAATTTTAAGGATCGTGGCAACCTTTCCCCCCATGGTTGCACTTACTACTTTCATAAACATCGATAATTAATCCATCAATGCTCTCTGCTGAACCAACTATAGTTGTAGAATTTGCTTGAGGTGTATTATTTATGGGGATATATTGCTACCAATTACATGTGATGGTTTTCTTTAGTATTTATGAGATTAAGGTTGAATGTTTTATGTAGATCCCATTCTCTATTCTTGAATATTTTTGTAGATCCTGATATCTAAATGGAAAGGAAAAGGCAAAATATACCTAAGATAAGATATAAACAATGACATAAATGGTGCCTGGACCGTAGATAATTGTACAAAGAGAAAGTAAAGTCTACCAATTTTGATCATAAAATAGGGTGTGGAATTTTGAACCCATGTTGATGGATGCAAGCCGGTTCATCTTTAGAAAAAAAAATTGGTGGACTAAAGAAAATGTGTAAGACAATTGACATTGGCTATCTTACTTTTGATGAACTGAAAGTTGGATTGAAGAGTCTCGGTGTTGATCTTTTAGATTCATGACCAATGCAAGTTGTATGTATTACCAAAACTTATCTCTGAATCCATGAGGTTCTTGTAATTGAAATATCAACTCTAGATCATGTAAAAATTGCAAAGTTATGCATTAACTTGAAGATAATATACTGATTCAAATGTTTTGTTTTGTAGAAAGAAAGAATCTGGTTGCTGCTCTATCCACCTCATAGAAGGATATTTCATCACCATCACCGTAGATCTGAGATATCAGGGACAGGGACAACTATTGCTAATGAGTTCCATTTCTTCCACCAAGAACTAATCACATTATCCATCCGAAAATAGGTGCTTCTAGATCACAACACTTTGGAACCAACAAAACATGGGAACAATTACATAAAATCGATGTGTTAAGTTGAGGCTGAATATATAATTCGATCATAATAGGCGTCTGTACTCATTTTGAATTTTTAACAGCCTTGTTTCCATATTGATATTAAAATTGCCATTCAACATATTGTAGAATGATTTCGCTTCTGCTTCATAACACCTCGATTGGAATCTGAATGGTATCATGACTTTGGTTCTCAACATTTCTTCATAATTGGCGGTCTTTTCCTTCATAACCTAGGCATTGTCCTTAGAATTTCGAGCGTTGCATCAATGGATTTATTACGATGGCTGCATTCAAATGGCATGATTTTAATTAGCTGGAGAAGAGATTATTAATCAAAATCTTATTCAAATTGGAGTTTTGTTTGTTTGTTTAAGATTAATATTTACATGTTTCATAACATTTTGTTATAAATTTGGACGACTATTGTTTCGCATATTTCCGCCTTATATTTTAGGGAGTATGAACTATGAATTTTTATATTCTATAGAGTATGAAGAATATGAAGATCTGTTTTTTCACACTT